ATCCAAAATTATTTTGCATGTTTATAGATCAGCTATGAAAGTGGTAAAGGATGAGTGTGGCAGGATTAGTTATAAACCTATTTCTGTTGCTGTTGTTCTGTGCTTTTATTATTGGTTGTGGTTTTACTCTTTCTGTGTACTTAGCATTCAATTAAAATGATTGATTTGCTAGGCTGCAGACTGCTGAATGTTATTTACATTTACAGAACTATACTTTGAAGGAAGGAAACAACCTACTATGTTTGAACTACTTTATTCATTTATGTATTTGTAAGCTCATTGACATTACACAGAAGTTCTTACGTTGCAATTTCCTTGGAGGTGAATTCTCTTCTTAAATTGCCAGTTTTCTGTATTGCTTCATAAAAGGGAGGATTTGAAATATTTGGCAGCAACAGCTTGTCAAAAACATTTGGTTACCTTGAATTCATCCTAGCTAGGCACAGTATGAAAAAGCTACATAAATCTAAACTATCAGATATTATCTTTGAAAAGATTCCAGTGAAGGATGACATGTGGGTAATATTTGCCTTTGACCCTTAGAAATTATTAGCACAAACCTTTGGGTAATTAGTTGTAAAAAAATTGAATTCATTTCCCATGTTTCCTTGAATTGTTTTTCTATTTGGCATCATTCTGCTATGGAAAAGATAGCAAAACTACGGTTACAGTGTTTCTTTTCTCTAACATTTAACTTTGATGACAGAGCATAGTTTGCTTTGGCTCATCCATCCTTATGCTTTTCATTTAGCATTACTAGACATGAAATCCAACTCAACTGGCACCATATTGAAGAAAGTGTTCAAGATAGTATTGGCATAATTTGTCTAAAATAATTTGGACAAGTCTGTTGTCATTGAAAAATATACTGTATTTATCATAGAAGAAAAATTAAGGTACTTTCCAGTGGATGAATCCAGTATTATAAACAAGGCTCTAGTTTTCATTATAAGAGACAAGATCAGACATGGCTATTAAGTTGGTATTATAGACAGCTATTTTTCAAATTTGTTGAAAGGTTGTTGTTCTGTGTAAAACATAGTCAGGCTAAAACAGTAATTAGCAAAGGTATTCAGAAGGTCAGTTACTCAGACACTGTCAGTAGGCAGGCCAAGTTTCATTTATGTAATCCATCTTTATTGAGGTTATCCACTTTAAAGAGGATTGAGCTGTAGAATTTGTTTTTAAAAGCAGAACAACAAAATCTTTGGATAATCAAAGCCAGTCTATATACTAGACTGACTAGAACTAGTAGCATAGCAAGATCAGAATTGTAGAATGGCCTAATTCCAATGATTAGGATTCCAGTTCCCAGTCGCTTTGTAGAAATTCTTACATATTTCTACTCTTATTTCTGGCTATCTCTTCATTCACAAGTACCTGTATATGTTTAAGATAACATTAGTTCACCTAACTATTTTCTGGGTTTAAATTCTCTGCTTCCTTTATCCTCTGGATTTGGTCAGTAATTTAGTTAATCATTTAGTCCCAGAGGAACATTTCTCTGTACTCTAGAGAGAGCAGATCTAAGGGACTCATCCATTAAGAATAATCAAGCTTTCAAGCAGTAACACCCTACTCCCTCTAAACAGCTATAGACTTGCCTTGAGATCAATAGAAATGGCACTGATTTCAGTACTGTATCTTTGTAGAAGTTGCATCAGGGATAAGTCCTACTGAATTTAGTGGGACTTATTTTTAAATTTATTTATTTCAGCTTTTAAATATATAATGTAATATAAAACCTTCCAGGCATAAACAATGTTTAAAATTGGTGATCCACATATCTTAAAACTGGAGAAAGAATGAATGATTGAATGAATGAATTTATTTTGATTAAATTAATCAAAAATGTGCGTGTGTATGTGTGTAAAAATTCAAAAAGGCTTATAAACTTTTAAGCAACACACTATTTTCTCTTCAACGTCATTCATTTTTTAAATCAGTGTTTCTGTTTTATTAAATGAAATACAACAGACTTGTGAGCCCTGAGGAGAGTCTTATAAATTGAATTCACAATTTACATTGCTCTTCATACATATTTCTCTGTGCATATAGTAACAGAAACTCCAAAATAAAAGCTTGATAATGGATTGTGGTGCTAGAAAAAATTATTGAGAAGACCTTGGACTACTAAATGAACAGATAATTTAATACTAGATTAAATAAAAGCAGTGTTTTTACTGGAAGCATGAATATTGGAGCTAGCTTAAGTATTTTGGACATTTAATGTGAAAACAAGAGTTATTGAAGATGACCCTAATGCTTGTAAATATCAAGAGCAATTGAAAAAGCTTGACAGAAGATGAAGTGATTAACAATTATTACTGATGAAACAAACATGAACTTACAAGAATCCAAATAGTTACAAATGAAACTAGATAATTGATGCTTGTTCGGACATGAAGAATCAGACGTAACTAGCAAATGAGTAATAAATATATTTAAGATCCTGTGACACCCTAATGACTTAACTGATTTGTATATATCAGCAGTAGTGTGTTTCCACTACATTGATATTGAATATTATGTTCATGTTCATTGTATTGTTATTTGGTCCTTCAGTTTAATTTCAAAGAGATTTTGAGGAGATTGCTTCAGGCAGTAAGCTTCACAAGTGGGTATATTGTTGTTCTTAAATTTTATATAACCAGTTCTATTATCATATTTAGCACAATTAACAAATATTGCAATTCAAAAAACGTCAATATGTTGAACCATATAAATTAAAAATCCTACAATGATTTATTATTTGTTTTAATAATAATGTATACTTCTTTATGCTACCAGTGAATGATTTTAAACATATACAGCCTAGATGATAACTGGTGAAAAGCAACCTGCTGCAATGTGCCATGAATGTGTTTGCACATTTATTTAATTAAGACTTGCATAGGAGAACTTTACAGTGTCTTATGCCCTTTGTTTCATAGACTCCCAAAGGGCCCAGACCCAAACATCTCTCACTTTAGAAGAAAAGTGAAGTTTTAGTCCATTCATGCAATGTGTAGCTTTAGCCTCTACTTGAAAAATACTCTGGAATCTTTTTATGGACACATGGCTTTAAGAAAAAAAGCCAACAAGATTAACAATTAGAATTTATTAATCTTTTAAAATGCTGCACTCTGCCTTTCATGCCAAGATTCATGAGTCATTTTATTGTAACATATGTCAACAGAGATGTAGCCCCATCTGCTGCTATAGAGCAGGTTCAGACACTAGGCACACAGCACAATGCTTACCTCTCAATAATTACAGGTGTGCTGTGAGAAAACGCAATGCATTAATCAGTCCAGTAATTATGGAAAAGGTGGGTCTTTTGTTCTGCCTTCAGAACAGGAGTTTACCAGCCACTTCATGACTCCAGTCTCCATCTGCTCATTCTTTTAGAATGTTTGCATTGACTGATACTGCCTTTAAATTGTAACATGGGAAGTGATTAAAACCAGTTTGAACATTAACTGAAATGATGTTTCAACGGGAAATGCTGTGTGTTGTGATGCTAACATTTATTTACCTCTTAGTCAATAATTGAGAAAAATCTGTTTTGTGTTAATTATCAGTGCATAACACTGTAAAGTTTAGTTATATGGAGTAACATTTTTGATCTAATATTTCCTGAATATCAGTCTTGTTAGGAGAAAAAAACCCACAAAACTGTAGGGCTTTTACAAATCCACAGCGGAAGCATAACAGAAGAGGAAGAATGGAATTTAAAGCAAACAAAAATATATTAATTTTTTTCTTTGATTTAAGTTGTTTTCATATGAAGTTTTAACTGAGATTTGCCTCCTGTCTGTTGTGTTTTCTACCTTTTTGTCTAATAAGTGGTAATTTTCTTTCACCTATAGAGTTAGAAGTAGTACTCTTTTTCCATTTGAAGAACTTGTCTTGAGAATGGTTACAGCATAAAAGGAGAACAGAAGTGGAAAAAATCTTGTATAGCCAGATTATTAGATTATTTCCCAACAAGTCACTTATTGAGGCAGGATCTGATCAGCTTTCTAGCAACAAACCCAAAGAATTAAAATTTAATCTGACAGACCAGGACATGGTATTCTGATTGTGGGAAACGCAGAGAGTTGGAAAAGCCATATGCATTTCTGCACTTCCATTTGACATAATACATGTCACGTGTCATCTATAGCTCTATGATTGTGACAGAAGCTGGAAGACAAACCTTCAAAACCTGAAATAAGCCTTTCAGGTTTTAGACATAGGAGAGCTGTGTTGGTCTATTGTGTCAAAAACAGAGGAGTAACATCACATTACTATTTTTATTGTTTATTTGGCAAAAAGTTTATTTACTGTGGTAGCGTTGTAGACATGGATAGGGGGCCCTGCTACTATGGATTTCCTGCCTATGGGTTTCCTTTACTAGCCTGAGATGGGAGAACATAAGAACAATATTGTCAATTAGGATTGTTTCCTCCCCATGTTAGTACATTTCTTGTATCTCTGAACATTATTAGAATCTTGATAAACATAGGTAGCTATTTATAGATGTTTATATTGGTGATATTTCTTCAGGCAATATGTTACTTTGAAATGAGGGGACACATGCATGTGTACCAATAGAGAATATCTGTAGTTCAGAGTTGAAATGAGGGGTTGTTGGTGCTCTGAGCTTGGCTGTTTTCTTGCAGAAGTTTCATTACCTAAAGCAGGTAACATCTTCAGTGTTAGTCTGATGATGTTACCTAGCTTGATAATAAAACATTTGCAAGAAAACAGCCAGGCTCAGAGAGCACCAAGGACTCTTCATGCATGTATGTATTTTAAAATTCATATATAAATACTGAAAGAATCCTTCTTAATAATGACATATATTTACTTCAAAGTGTGCATTATATATTAGTACGCATATCTCTGGTCCTCATGAACCAGAGCTTCTTTCTCCTATGATCTATTACATAAGAGCAGGATACTGATTTTAAGGACAAATGAAAAATTCTTAACATATTCACATATTCACACATTTCATTTTTCCCCCTTTTCAGAATGTTTTGAACACTATCGTCAAACACTGCTCCCCATTCTTTTTCTTCTTGGGCTTACCTGGCTTTACACTGCTAATAAGAGACTTCATAACAGCGGCAACTAGAGTTCTGAGTACAAATATGTTAGAGGTAAGTATGTCAGAGTTCAGTGTATGATTGTTAACAATATGCAGATTTCCCGGCTCTCAGTATCAACTCATTAGTGCAGTGTGACATTGGAGTAGAATGATATTTGCATTTTTTTTCAAATAACAACTTGCCAATTGCCTCAAATTTCAAGGTAGCAGTAATTTTTCATTATGATATGTCTTTTCTGATTGACAGTATGAACTAATATCTTGTTGATCACTTATCTTTGTCAGTTACATAGCCAAGCCAGAATTCATGTTGTTGAAGTAGGATATTTTTATTACATAATATTAAGTTGAATGCTAGGAAGTGCAATCTTATTAAAAATAAATGTAAACAGAACAAATGAGCTTTCTAGATTTCATTTGTTTTAGCTATGAAAACAAATGAAAATTCACTTGATTGAGATCTGAATATTTTTCTCATTTTTAATTCATTCATTTTTATGTTCATGTTTCAATTTCTGATTTGGTCAGAAATTAATCATTTTTGCATTGAGAAAGAGAGAAATGATCAAAAATAGAATAGGGGCAATTTATGCAGTCCATCTTACATTTGCAGGTGTAATCTTTCGTAGTTGCAGAAGAACATCTGGAAATGTTATGTCATTTTGATGAAAAATGCCATTTAAAGAAAAAATACAGGTGGAACATCTGGTTGTGAACTCTTCCGTTCATGACCAATTTGGGTGATGATCAAAATTTCTTACCTCTGGTTGTGAATGGGTGCTGGGGTGGTGATCAAACACAGCTGCAGTGATTTACTGTTTCATGCCAATTTCCCCTTCCAGGTCGCACTCATTTTTTTAATGCACATGCGCTTCCGGTGAGGACCAAATTGGGTGACGACCAAATTCTTGGAACAGATTACATGCACACATCTGAGGTTCCACTGTACACAAAGTTATATCCATCATACAACCCCCACAATCACATGAGTGCAATTTGGGTACTTGGCAACTAGCTTGCATTTATGATGATTCTAGCATCTTGTACTAATGTAATTGAATTTTGCAACCTTCCTAGCTAGCTTCCCACAAGCAAAGACAATTGGGAAGTCAGATTCACTTAGCAGCCAGTTTAAAAATGGTCATAAAATTAGGTCCAGTTTACACGATGACTCACTTTATCATCACACTTATTTATGGTGGAATGTCCAGTCCCAATTGTGCTCCCTAAATCAGGACTGTCTGTGATATCAGAAATTGGCAGTGGAATTCAATATCCTGTAGGTGTCCTCAAGCATCTAAGATTGAATATTTCAAAATTAGGAATTGCTTAATTAGGAATTTGGTTAATTCAAACCGATTTCATTAGAGAAGCAAAACATTGATGGATGAATGGAATGGAATAAAACTGTACATGGAAATTGTGGGTTCTTCCCTCTATGGTATATTGACTGTTGTTGAAAATGTTCAAGGGAAAGGGATTTATGGGCCCCAGTCCTTCTTTTTGAGGCTTTTGGAAGCTCTTTTAGTCATACTATCAAATTTTTGCCAGTTTGATAAAAGAAACACATCAAAGCTTTAGTGTTAAAGATCTTCCTATTTTCCCCACAACAACTCTGTGCAGGTGGTTTGGGCTAAGGGAGGAGTGACTTTAGTCACCCAGCTGGCTTTAATGCCTAAGGCAGTACTAGACCTCACAGTCTCCCTATTTCTAGACTTAGGGCCTTAACCACTGGCTTCTGTTTTGATACTAACAGAATCTAATTTTTTTAAATTAATATAGCAATACAAACATATGCATTTGTTTGTTTGTTACAGGCTCCTCGCATAGAAGCAAATACTATTCTTGGCTCTCTGATTTGCTTCCCTAACCTTTACCAAAACATCTCATTGTTATCATCTGTTACTGAAGCAGAAATAACAACAGGAACTGCAGATGTCAAGGTAATTTTTTTTCTTTGTGAGCTGATCTATATGATAACAGGCAGTCAGGCTGCCTTCCTGAAATTAGTGTTGCATTTAATATATACTGTGTGTTAGGATGCTATGCAAATCTGACTTGTGCTATTCTCTTATTTTTAAATGATATAGAAAAGATATTTTTTTAAAAAAATATTTGTGTTGAGTTAAGAAAAAGAGACTCAGATCTTAAAGCACAAGTGATAAACAGTTCATCGGCAAATTAAAACCATAGTAATATCTTAAAGGATATTTTAGGATATTTTAGAGATGGAAAAGCTGGAGCAAAGGAGAACCAAAATAATTAAGGCATTGAAGCAGCTCCCCCTGAGGAAATGCCAAAGAATTTAAAGTTTTTTTGGAATGAAAGCAGGGTAAAAATATACCTCTAGTATGATATCGAGAGATATATTGAATCATGAATAGGGCTATGCGTATTTATCCTTCAGTGTTTAGTTTTCCCACTAAAACTAGTTGAATGAAATGATAGGACAAATAAAATAAAATATTTCTCAATATAATATATAGTTAAAGCTTAACATTAACCTCAGGATTAGCATTAACCAGTGGCTTTGGGACATACCTGTCATGTCAGCCCTCAACTGTCTCAACACACTGACAGGACACTAGCCAGATGAATATTGATGTTAGTAGGCAGAGGCACAATTCCGCCCCCCTAATTTTCCTCCCAAAAAACTAAGCCCGATCACATAGTTTCGTAGCGAAGCACAGGTATATTTGTCAGGTTTGACAGGGATCTGTAAGAAAAGTTTGTAATTCTTAAATCCTTTGGGATAATTTAATTGTTTAATTATGAATATATATTTATACTAGCTCTATACCCTTGCTCCACTACGAAACTATGTGATTGGGCTTAGTTTTGGGGAAGGAAAATAAGGGGGGGGATTGTGCCTCTGTCTACCAGCATCCATCAGTATTCATCTGACTAGCATCCTGTCAGTATGTGAGAGAGTTGAGGGCTGTGTGGAAACTGAAACAGTATTTGCTGTGTGAGCAAGAAGGAGACAGCAAGGAGCCTGGGCGTGGTTTAGCTCAACTGTTCTGTACTAAAGCTGGTTGCTGCTCTGAAATTGAAACTGAAACTCCTCTGCTTGTGTTTTGCATTTGTAACAGATTTCAGGTGGGGAGAGGGAGTAGAACTCCTTAGCATCAGAGCATGTTAATAATAATATACAAAATACTAATGCTCTGGTGATCATTTCGAAAAATCCTTTCTTAGTGAGCACCTAGAAGCCAAGAGGAAAATACGTGCCAAATTTCAAGTTTGTAGGCTTTACGGTTCTGGAGATTTTGTGATGATGTGTGAGTGGTATTTCACTTATATATAGAGAGATATGTATATATTCATATGTTTATACAGTAGTGGCCAAAATTGTGGAAACCTTTTGGGAAGTGTATTTTTGAGGTTTTATGACTAATAACACCACTTTTTTTGGAGTAGGACCATAAAATTATATATTATTGGAAAGATAATTTAATCAAGAATGTAATGCAACAAAGTTTGTTCAATTATCTGTATTCTATGAAAAGTTATAACCAAATAACTAGGAAGCACAACTTGCTTAGGTTGATATGTAGCTTTCCTTCATCCGATTGTAGCCAATGAGCATGAGTGTTTAGCGAGCCAATCAGGTGTCATCTTGTTTTGGCAATGAGCCAATCAGATCACAGTAAGATTCAGTATTGATGTCATTTATTGAAGCTAAAAGGAGGACATTTATCTGTGTTATGTGATCGCTATCAAGTTGGTTGGGGTTTTTTGTGTTCTTTCATCTAATGAGCTTGTAAAATGTAATAAAATTAAAGTAATGATGCAAAGAGTTGACTGGTCACCCAGAAAGTCATGTAAAATAGTATTATTAAGTAAAGAAGGCTACAGTTATAAAGAAATTAGAAGGAAAATTGATGGAAACTTAACCAAGGTGGCATTTCTAAGTTTTTGAAGAGGTATAAGGAGACTCAGTCACCAGAAAACCATACTGGTAAAGGCAGGAAAAGGTGCACAACAGCAAGTGAGATAGAAGAATTAAGAGATTGTGCCTATATGAAATGGCGCAATGTAGTGTCAAGTTGAGTACAAGGACTGTTCGGTGCAGACTGCTGGAATAAAATCTAGAATTCCACCAAAAAAAACCCACTTTTATCTCTCAAACAAAAATTGAAAATACTAAACTGGGCTAAAACCCATATTACTTGGACAGAGGAACAATGGGACAGTGTTATTTGGATTGATGAGATCAATATCTCCGTTTGGTAGTGATGGCATAAAATATGTAAAGGAAACACTTTTCCCAAAAGGTTTCCACAATTTTGGCCACTATTGTATATGCATTTGTTTAGTATTTGTATTTTTTTACTTCTATTCCAAGTTTATATTGTCCAGATTGATAATTTTAATTTCTTCTTGTTGTATATGTGTAGCCCGAGCAAGTCCTTTAATGTATTTTGATTTAATATTATTGTTTAGCCATTTTTTCCTCAGTATGTACTTTTCTTAACTATACTGACTGTCAGTTTAGTTTTGGATACTTTGGATATTTGAATACCAATTCCTTTGGACTGATTAATAACTGAAATAAAGTGAATTTATTATACAGGTAAACTATAGAATTCTCTGCCACCAGAAAGGGTAATTACTTCCTATTTAAATGGCCTTAAAGGCTAGATTCCTTCATGAAAGAAAAGATGGAGAAAATATGAATCCATCCCCCATTCCTCTTCTTCCAGACTTATTTGCTTTTTTGTTGTCATTTCAGATTGATTCAGAGGTTTTAGGAATAGGCTGTGTTGATTACATCAATTCACCAAGAGGCTGTAGTTCCCTCTTTTCTGCAGTTGTCAATTCAAAGTCACAGATCAATCTCTGGTTTTCTGAAGGAATTCTAAACCCAGTTTTTTATGTTATTATTTGATGTTTGTGCATGCATACATGCATGTGCAGTCAACTCAAGGCTAATACAAGCCTAATATTTCTGCTTCCTGTTTTCCCCATAATGACTGTGTGAAGTGGGCTGGGTTGAGATGGCAACTGGCCCAACCTCATAGTCTCCCATTGTCTAAACCAGCACCTTCATCACTACACTACATGTCTTCATCCTCTGCCCTTTTGGTTCAATTTGTTATAGGCTCACCCGAGTAGTCCAGTATCAATGCTTACGATCCTATTTGATGTGGTTTAAAGCTACTTTTTTTTTTTACCTTAAATGCTATAGCAGTACAGTGGTTATAACTTTTGCCTTGGAAATAGAAGATAGTTGGTTCAAAATCTAGCATTTTTTAGCTTAGTTTCTTTCTGTCCTACAAGTTATTTGGTCTACTTGACACCTGAGGGTGAAACACTTTTAACATCAGATGACTGGAAAAATAATGAGACAGTGCACTATTGGAGGGGGCATATGTGTAAAACAGACGAATAAGAAGCTCAAGGAAAGAGCAAGTAATTCAAAAGCATTTCTGCCAGATTCAGACAGAAACATCAGCATTTTGTTTCTGGTTATAATGATTGAGCTTTTTACTTGTAGTATATATGGAAGGGTAGTCTAAATGACAATAGAAAGAAATTGGTAGTCATAAAGACATTTTTAAAAACTGCTTGTTGTGCTTGTTTTGCATGTAAGTTTTAATGCTTTAACTTCAAATAAACTTAACTTTGTGGGTGGATGGATGGAGTATATGTATGTATGTGTCTGTACTCACTTCAACAGCACATATACATACTACACATACACACATAATACATACGTGTGTATGTAGAAAGACCTGTCCATTGAGAAGAAATCAATTGGCTGTTGCAGGAATGGGATCTGACCAATATAACTATTGGTTCTGTTGTTCTGCATCGTGCGCACATGTGCGAGTTGCACGAGTTGCACAAGTGCAATTTGCAACCTGCTGAGCTGCCCGGAACCAGTTCTGTGTCTGTTGCTCTTCAGAGCTACCGGTTCTGTAGAGCTGGACAGAACCAGTAGAATCCCACCCCTGGGCTGTTGCTTCCCTGAACCAGAAAGATGAGAGAGCATAGCAACAGTGGAATAGCCATAAGGAAGGATATGGAAGCCTATGGTTCAGACTAAATATCTTGCACATTATTGCCATGATGTCACAGTCCAAACAAGAGTTTCATAAATCAGGTTAAAGTTAAACTGGTGTGAGTATAGATATGCTCAAAGAATACTTCCAAAGCTTTAATCAGGTAGTTGTCCATCAGAAGAAACATTTTATTCTTGTAATTTTTCTTCTTCTAGTGTTGCCTCATAAATGTTCTTTTAAAGAATGCCACAGAGGAACCAAGTGAAGCTTCAAGGTAAAATCCTGAATGAAACAAAAAATATTACAAAATGTAATTAAAGAATATACAGTATATTGGGGAAAGGAAGACATGTCTACTGTCCAAGATAAAAAATATTTCAGTAAATTACAAGCAAAAAATGTGAAGTTCACAGAAGAGGGCAAAAAATAATTGTAATTTCATTGTCCTTGTATATAGAATGACCCTTCACATTGTAAAGCTAGACAATAAATATAAAAAATGAATACAACTTAGGCAAAAGACCAAACATTGCTTTTTATGGCAGAAATATTAGGACTTGCATTTAGCACTAAAAAAAACATTTACCCTAAAATAGTGACAATCTGATCCTTATGCACGGTGATTATAATTCAATTTAAAGATCCTACTAGTATAAGAAAATATAGAAGACTTTGTGACTTACGAGAGTAAATTTTCTTTTTTAAGATATTTAGCCCTTTGCTGTCTTGGGATTTGGATATGTGAAGAACTTGTACACTGTACCAACCATCCTCAAGTAAAAGATGCAATAAATGTTTGTGGTGTGACACTAAAGGTACAAGTATAGCAAATAATTTTAAGTGTGTTCAACTTTGTGGGCTGACCAAAGACAAAGAGTATTCACTTAGAATACTTTGTTAAGTTATTTAGAAGGTTCATCTATTTGGTCTATTATTATGCTTTTGAAAATTTCAAAAACAGTTATCATGTGTTAGAGATAGTGAATTATGTATTTACAAATTATTTACTATTGAATAAGCTTTTAGAGCAACAAGTGTTCAGATATCTAAACAAAGCTGTTATAATTCAAGCTTTTGTAGATGACCCATTTCATAAAACATGGATTGCATTAGGATGATGTACTGGGTCTCATATATAGTCATTATTTGCTGAGTTACACCATAGCAACAAAAATTATGTAATTGTATTGAAATAATAACCTAATTTCAGTTTTTCATGTTTGAAATTAAAATTAAAAACAAAGCAAAAAAAAAAACTTTCTTACCCTCTATGCCTGAGATTACTTTTTCTTAGCACATAGGTTTTCCATAACATTCTGTTAGGAGGCATACATAGAACCGAACACAACTGTTTTGAGAATTGTTAACCCCATCCCTTCTTAAGGGATTTTAAGGTATTCCAAGGGAAATAGTACTTAGCAATAGCACTTATATAGTGCTTCATATAGCACTCTAAGCGGTTTACAGAGTCAAATGGGAAAAACCATCTGTTGGCCTAAATCACAGAGACCAGCTTAATGTTACTTTATGTAATGATAGTGAGAAATAAATTTTTGGAAATACAACAATCCACTTGTGATGATGTTGGTTCTTTATTTCTTATTAATTTGTTTTTCATTTTTGCAGTTTTCTAACAAGCAGATTGCACAAGCAGCCTGTGATAACTTTCAGTTATTGACATCTTACTGGAAAAAACTGCAGGAATACAACAGTTCTCTACCCCAAAAAATTATTGAAGTATGTTTCATTTCCAAAATAGTTATATATGGAAATTGGTATTTTATAATGCTTGTTTTTTAAGTGAAATATAATGCCTTATTTGGAGCAGATGCATTTTAATCCTCCTGTGCTAATGGAGATGCTGTGCACTTCAATAGCTGTTTAAAATAATTATAAAATGTTTTTAGAAAATACAAACCACTTCATGTTCTATGTCCCTCTCAACAGATATAGCACTAGTAATTCTGTAGTGGTGTATTTGAGCCCTCTCTCCCTCTGCTGCCAAAGCCATCTGGCTGCAATTTACTGCAAAACATATAAGCTAATTAGGGTTTATTCTCTTTCTAATAACCCACAAAATATGGGGCAGGAACCAATATTTTGCTGGTTCTATTTTTAAATATACCTATTTCAGAAGTTGCAATTAAGTTTTTACAGTTTGCTTTTATATCTTAATATTTAAAACATTGTAAAGGATTATTATATTAATTAGTTTTCTATTTGGAAGATTTTGATAGTTCATACTGCTAGCCTTTTGTAGCCTTTAGTCATTTCTGGAAACAGCTCATTCTCATTTTAGTGGCAGTTGCATCTACTTACAGGTTTTTAAAATTGCATTTCTGTCTGAGGATTGCATTTTTATGACAATGAAATTGCATCCAAATCCTTCCTTTCTGCCAAAAGTCAATTTGTTTTTTGTTTTTGTCATACCACACTTTGCCTCCCTCCTTCTGAAGGACAATGAGTTCATTCTAAGGATCAGTGCTGATAAGTTGGACATAGATCATGTTCTACATTTTTAGTTAGATCAGAATAACTGAATTTTGAAAGTTGGGGACTTTATTTCTTATTCTGGCTTCTCTTCAGATTGTATAATCTTTGCCTGCTTTCATTTAACAGGAAAATGTTGGACAAAATTTATGTAAGTCCATCATTTGCAAACATTCCAAGTACATCAAGGCAGAAATTAAGTGTCAGGGGAATCTTTACTCATTTCATTAGCAAGGGATACCTATCTCTCCTATCTTTGGGACTACCTTTTCTATTTTAGCTACTCATGTTGTTGTAGTGCGATGGTAAGAAGAGGCTTAGACCAGAGCATGCAAGTAACAGTCTTTATTCTGGGGGAATAAAGGGTTGTCGCGTCTGCTCAGCTAACAGGCAGACTGCAAGCGAACAACGGTTGGCTCTGCCCGACAGCCGGCTTTTATAGCCGACTGTCAAATGGAGCCAACCAATGGGAGCTGCTGGTGCTCCCGCTCAAACAGCGGACCTGGTTGGGAACTCCAACCAGTCCTAAAGACATAACACATGTCCATTCACACAATCATTATTCATTATAAACATATCATCAGTTACTGCAACATTGATAAAAAAAAAGCTTCTGCAGAATGTTCTAGGGCATTAAGCTGCTGATTCCTGAAATTCATCTTGGCAAATTCAACAGATTTAGCTGACTGCAAATCTCTGAAAGAAAAGAAAATCATATTACAAAATTTTCTTTTTCTCTTAGAAATTTTGGTAATCATTTTAGGCAATAGAATTGAAGAAAAATGGTAAAGGGTAAATAATTACAAAGTAGTCATTCATATTTCACTGATATTTTTGACCTGCCCTATGCTTTGACTGATTGGGAAACTAAACATTTCTATAAATTTATTTTAAAATTGCTTTGTCACAGGTCCTTGTTGCCACTATTGCATCTCTATTACCAAGTGCAGAATACTCTACTGTGGAAAGTGATAAAAAGGTGTGTAATGATTAGATGCCTTCATTTTATCTCAATATTGCATAATTAACATGAAGACCTAATGTTTAAATTAGGCAATTTGGCTTGTATGATTGATAATTGCTGTTTTGAAGGAAAAGAGCAGATTTCAGCTTTAGAGTTCAAATAGATTACCTGCAGTAACTTTACTGCTGATGAATAGATTTGTCAGATCATATTCTTTTGATTGCATATCATATATTTCCTGGTAAAATTTATTTTGTTTAATCAGGTTTTCCAACTTTCTAAGTGTAACTAATATTTGGACATTTTTTTCTGTTTTAGTTTATAGTCTCATTGTTACTTTGTTTATTGGATTGGTGCATGACATTGCCATTGAAGACACTGTTGGAGCCTGTATTTACTTCCAGTTTTGAAAATCAGTATTCTTCTAATACTCCATTACTTGATTATATTTATAGGGTAAGCATGAGTGGTCATACCTAAATACTTCACTTCCTAATATCTATGTATATGAATAGCGGTATACTAAATTAAAACAAAATTACAAAAAAGCCATAGTTTTGATAGATGAACTACAGCAGACTTTGTGTACAGCTTTCTGAAATCCTGCCCATACTGTTGCATCAGTTTTTCATTAACACATGTGTTGTGGACATCATTAATTATTTTTTGATTGCTCTTGTATTAGATACATTTTCAAATGTATCATTGTCCCATTTATTTTCTATATTCATGGTGTATTTCAAATGTGAAATAGAACAAATATTCAGTATCATTTCAGTACCCCATTTGAGATTATGGCCATTTCCTTATATCTGTATCTTCCATTTTTTAAAACATACTGTTTTAGGAATTTCTCAAGCAGTTTCATTTTTAATTTAGTAGTGTTCATAACAATTAGACACTCATTCAACATCCCTAAGGTGCTTTCTCTTGAATAAGGTGGATGTCAACTTGTAAAGCATTCCTGGCCTCCTTTCAAGTTGCCATAGGGAGGGTGGGGGGAAACCCTGAAATAGCAACAAGGAAATCAAAAACCAGAAGTACATTTCACACATACCTTACCAAGGCTGTCTCCCAGGTTACCGATCCAGTTGGAGGGGTGTGGTCTCCAGAGCCCGTGAAATTCCTCGGTTGGAGAACGTGATTTATGACACACCAGCTGTGAAGGTGCTCCAGTTGGAGAGTGTGATTTATGACACACCCAGGGGGGAGGGGGGAAACAGGGCATAGGTGCACTGTAAACGTGACACAGAGCTGGCTTCATTAGGATAAGTGCTAACATGTTTCTCCTAATAATTAGAGTTCTTTTGAAGTTTAGCTCAGGTTCGTGATTTGATTAGGGCATCTGTTGGAATCCTGACAGTGGTATTTCATATTATAAGTGAAATTTTTGTGCTATTTCACTTTATATATGTGTTTTTTGTTTGTTTTATTGCAGATCCTGAACTGTTGTGTTTATGGTTCAAGCCTGTACACACAGCAAAGCCATTATCTTTTAAGTTTGGCTGACCTCTCCAGTGACAGCTATGATCCATTTATGCCCCTAGGAAATGTTAGGAATTCTAAAGTGATTCTGGTTCAGTCTTCTGCAGACCTGAATAATTTGCTCACTGTTGCTGAAGGTAACAAGGGAACAGCATATTTTACTTTTCATTGAAAAATCTTTGCAAAAGAAAAATGCATATTTTATAAGAATTGAACCCTGTACAGTTCATTTTTTTCCTTATTAATATAAAATGCATATTAAAATTTTGCCACCTCACAAAGTTCATTTTAAGTCTTCTTTTGTGTCAATGTATTTCTTTTTAAAAATAGTCAGATCTGTCAATTTCCCTTTCTATAAATGCAGTTGAAATTGGTGCAAGAATTTTTTCATACTCAACTTTTATAGTAAGCAATTGATAGCTGATATCTTAACAGTTTGTTTACTAATCTTAAATCATTGTAAGAGAGCTTGCAGTCAAAGAAGCAGCAGGAAGAGATTAATAGTGATAGAATAACATTTCTCTCTGAATTAATAAGTTCTTACTTGGTGAAGCTGTTAGTCTCTGTGCTATTTTATTTCTGATGTTAAAGGGAAGGTCTAGAAATTATTATGGAGCAAAAGGTTCACAGAACAGGTTTTTTTATTTAAAAGCAGTTGTGCATTTGATACATTTGGATATATAACTTTTTACATGTTTGTGTATTTGGGTATATGCCCCTTATACATATGTATTGCATATATAAAAAGGATATGGGTGACATACTAAGAAATTAATTTGAATTTGAAATTTCTTCTAACACAGAACACATATTAGAGCATATATATATATATATATATATATATATATATATATATATATATATAAATGTTTATTGAAAAGTGATTCAAAAAAGTCAAAGACCACATAATTATATAGGTGCAGAATTTAAATAGGGAAATTGGTATGCAATAAAGGGAATATAGGTGGAAGATAGATAATAAATTTACTGGGAATATTATAGTAAGGAAAAACTGGTGTGACAATTCTTTAGTTGGTATATTATCCAGTGTTGATTGCCAAAGTGTATAATATGTATTTAAAACACTGTTGGAAATATAACAATCAGGTTTGATTATTATTTCCTATCTGGTGGCAATATACAAAGCTCAACAGCTTTAGAAAATAGTTTATCTTAAGTTTAAACAAATTTTAAAAGCTCACGCTTTATTGACAGCTCTTTTTTCTTCTTAAGCATAATCGAACCTTAGATTCCTACCTAGTATGGGAAACTGGCTTAATAGATGATAAATATTGCTAGGATACACTAAGCTTTTCACTGAAAATTACATTCATTCCCAACATGAGAAGATTGGCAGTTTTATGCAGCAACATCAAGTATAATTTTATATCTTAAAAATAAGTATGATACCAATTTTAATATGATACGGAAACCAAATCTATAATCCATTACCAGGCAGTAACCTATTTGAAACCGGGCTGCGGGAGAAAGCATAGGGCGCTTAAGCTCATGCACAAAGTTTAATTCACACGAATGAAGCTTCATGGGCCAGCACCCTCCACTCAAGAGTGGAGTTTTGCACGTGAGCATGAGCGCCCTCTGCTTATGTCAGTGGAACTTGGCGTGCAAGTGCAAACACCCTCTACTTGTATGCAAAACTCCATTTGCGTGAACGGAAGGCACCTGCACCTGCCATTTACATAAATGGAGATGTGTGCATGTGCCTGCCACTCACCCACCTCCACATTGGGCTAGGCTGCCAAGCTGGAAAGGTTGGGGATTGCTACATAGACTTCAGCCTGGACTGCACACCTTACATATTGTTGCCAAAGTATCACAGCATCATAGATAGGAGCAAATTAAACAATTATTGCAGATGATTTGAAATAATAACCCGCTCCTGATCTTTTGCTCTCTTATGTAGATTTATGAAAAACCTTTTTCTAATATTCTTCAGTCTTCAATTTATGGTTAAATAATGTGGTACCTTAAATATACTTTATAAATATACAAATCCACAACCAGCATATCTTTAAATACTATTCTTAAAATTACTGTATATTATTAGTTAATTGGTTGTCAGACTATCCATCTTGTACCTTTCTCGTTTTAGAAACTTATGAAAATTGAGAATATACCTGTCCTAAACTTCAAAATTGAGAAAGAGATGTGTGGGTGTAGGCTGTTTTTAATTTTAATTATTTTAGACTGTAGACTGTTTTATTTTTTTAATTATTGTTACAATTAACTATTTTCAGAAATGAAGCGGAGGAGCTTGGAGTTAATACCATTGACAGCACGAATGATTATGGCACATCTAGTTAACAATTTGGGCCATTATCCTCTGACGGAAGGACCTGCTGTTCTGCATAGTCTTATTAGTGAAAATCACAACAATTCTTGTATGGAATCTTCTGAACTCTCACCTGAAGTCTTCCAAAGCCCCAATTTACAGATCTTTGAATTTAATGACAACGCTGTCATTTCCTACCTCCAGATTCCTTCAAAAAGGGGGATGGATGATGAATTGGAAGAATCTTTCTCAGAAGTTAGAGTAATTGTTAGGGATATTTCTGGAAAATATTCATGGGATGGACAATTGATGTATGGACCATTAGCTGCTTGTTCAGTAGATCAGATGAACAGAAAATTCTCTGTGGTTATGGAAAAAAATAAGCAGAACTTTGAGTCCCCAACTGATTTCATCCAGATAGATGATGGAGAAGATGCTCTTGATAGATTACTAGAAAAGATTGGCAGTAGTAGTCCTGAGTGTCTTTTACATCCACAAGTAAAATTAAATGAACCATCCCCATCCCCATCTATCATGAATCATGCCCAAGCTAATGATATCATTGAAGCAATAATGCGGCAGAGTTTCATAGAAAATGAATACGCCCATGGATACCCTCTGAATCATAATACAAAGAGCGAAAATCAGAAGATGCCAAGATCTGCTGTGCCACAGTCACCATTTCATTTATGTAGGCTTTTTTTAAGTGCCTTAGGAATGAATTCTTGGGAAAAAAGGTAAGCATTCAACAGTATTCTAAGAATTTTGAGTGGGTGGGGAGGAACATAATACCGTTCCCATCTTCAAGAAAGTGGAGGGAAACAGATCTAAGAAACTACAGACCAATCAGCCTACATCAATACCTGGAAAGATCCTGGAAAAGATAATAAAAAAACAGATATGTGAACATCTAGAAACAAATAAAATTATAACTAGTAGCCAGCACAAGTTAAAAGCAGATCATGCCAATCCAATCTTATTTCATTCTTTGATAAGTTGACTAAATTAGTAGACCAGCAAAATGCTGTGGACATAGTGTACTTAGATTTCAGTAAGGCATTCAACAAAGTAGACCACAACCTACTTCTTGGTAAGCTAGAAAAATGTGGAATAGACATCACCACCCCCAGATGGAGTTGTAGCTGGCTGACAAACCATATACAACGAGTAGCCCTTAGTGATACTACATCTACATGGAGAGACATAAGCAGTAGGGTACTACAAGGTTTTGACTTAGGCCCAGTACTCTTCAATATCTTCATAAATGATTTAGATGAGGAAATAAAATCTTTGCAGATGACACTAAGCTGGCAGGCATAGCCAACACCCCAGAAGACACACTCAAGATCCAAAAAGATCTTGACAACATTGGGCCCTACCCGACAACATGAATTTTAATCTGAAAAAAAGCAAAGTTTTACAGTTAGACAGGAAAAACCAAAGGTATACGTACAGATTAGGCGAGACCTAGTTCAAAAACAGTAATTGTGAGAGGGACCTTGGAGTCCTTGAATATAAGCTAGCAATGTGTGGCAGCAGCCAAAAAAAGCTAATACAATGCTAGATTGTATAAACAGGCATAGAATCAAAATTACATAAAGTATTAGTATCACTTTATAAAACCTTAGTAAGACCACACTTGGAATATTAATCAGTTTTGGTCACCATACTATAAAAAAAGATGTTGAGACTTCGGAAAAAGTTTAGAGAAGAGCAACTAAGAGCAATTAAGATGTTTAGAGGCCTGGAGATTAAAACATGAACGATTACAGGATTTGGGTTTGGTTAGCCAAGAGAAAAGAAGACATGATACTAGTATTACTAGATATTTGAGGGGCTGCCACAAAGAAGGGGGGGTTCAAATGATTCTCGAAAGCACCAGAGGGCAGGACAAGTAACAATGGATGGAAACTAATTAAGGAGAAAAGTAACCTGAAATTAAGGAGAAACTGCCTAACAGTGAGAACAATTAACCAGTGAACAGCTTGCCTTCAGAAATGATAGGTGCTTCATCACTGGAGGATTTTAAGAATAGACTGGAGAGCTATTTGTCTGAAATGGTATAGGATTGGGGTGGGCTGCTGGGGGTTTGCAGGGGTTCGAGAGAGCCCCTAGCTAAGATTCTGTGCAGTTCAGAGAACCCCCAATCCTGGCTGGCCCTGCCTACTGTGCCTGGCCCCTCCCCTCCCCTCCCCACGTGGCCTGTTTTCGATGCAGGTAAGTGCAGGGTGCACATGGAGGCTCAGGGAGGGTGAAAAACAGGCCGGAAATGGGCCTGTTTCTAGCTTCCAGAGAGCCTCTGGAGCACAGGGAGGCCGTTTTCGCCTCCTGGAGGCTTGAGGAAAGCCTCCAGAGCCCGGGGATAGCAAAAATGCCAGCCCCCCACACTGTGATGCAGGAGACCAACTAGCCCATGGCCACACCTACCTAGCAACCAGGCAGAGAACCCTTTGCTAAAAATTTTGAAGCTCACCCCTGTATAGGATCTCCTGCTTGGGAAGGGAGCTGGACTAGAAGACCTCCAAACTCCCTGCAGCCCTATTCTAGATTGCTTCTCAGCAGCCAGTATCTAAGGCTTTCTGCCTATTAGAAGGTAGTAAACAAATATCAATCATTAATAAGCATTGATAGTTTGTTCAAACCTGTTTAGCTACCTTTACCACAACTTCTGACAGGGAATTTCATAGTTTAACTGTATGCATCCTGACACTCTGCATTTCACTACAATAAATTACAAATAAAAAACTTACGTTCTTGAAGCTGAGGGCCAATCTTGCTCTCAGTCTGGTTTGGGGGAGAGATAGCTCCTCCCTCTGAGATTTTATAGATTGGACTCTTTAAACACAAAAGAACGATGTCAAAAGGTGGAACATGCCGCCTGGGTAATTTAAGAATAAAAATGAACAGTAAAGTCATTCCTCCCCCTCCAATTTAATATTTTCTTGGTGTCCTTAATAAAGGATAGATCTGAGCAAAGATCACCAAGTGGAAAATAAATTGCAATAATTAGTGTAATTCAAGTGAGATTGCTACTTCTATCCATCTGGTTAAAGGGTGATAATAGGGGCTTGTAAAAATAATCTTAGTGCTTCTCCTGAATGTTGTTTGGCATAGCAGTTCAACCTAAATGGATTAAATTTTTATTATAGGCAAGCTAATGGGGCATGTTTAAGTTGCTGTTTACTAATTAAAATTCTATAACTATAATTGTCATTTGGCTTCAGCATTCAGTATTTATTTCCTATTTTCCAACTTATTCTTCAATGGTAAGGATTTCCCTGCTTCAGTAAAGTATAAAAAGCTATTTACTGAAAAGTGTTTATTCTGATATGTAGCTCCTACAAGAACCAGAGTACGCCAAAATTAAATTGTCATATTTGAACTAGGTCACTATTGCCATAATAAAACTTTAAAGTGGCACTGCCACTTTAGCCTTCTTTACAACAGTAAAACCCAAGAACCTCTGATCTAATAATTTATACCATAAGATGTATGTTATTCTTTAAGTGTCACAATTTTCTTAATTATTTGTATTATTTCCCAGATATCACCTAACTGAAATTTGCTCATTTTTCTTTTCAGATAAGTTTGTGTGTGTGATTGTATGCATGCATGTGTGTACCTATAAATACATACACACACTATTTTGGCAGGAAATGTTTCCATTTTAATGAATTTCCCTAACTGAAATTTTATAGGTAAGATAGAAAATATAATTTGAAAATAGAAAATTTATTTACTAGGTAACATGCTTAGAGAAAAATCAAGTAACTAATATACTTCCATTCTGACTAAGCTGTGTAAATAATTATAGAAAGTTATGTTTTATCCCACCTTCTTAGGTATATTATACATGATCTGCTAGTAGACCATTAAACAAATTAAAAGGTTTGGAGGGAGGGATCATTGGGAGCCAAAAGCAATCAGATAGGAGGACTTCAGGGTAGCAAAATTAACAAAATACACCAGTTTGTTTCCATAGTTACAAAATGTACCAGTTATGTATTATGAGATATTCTACCATAATTTTATTCTATTTATTTTAGAAAAAGTTTTAATGTTTTGAAGAAAAATTCTAAGTTGTTGAGAGAGCTGAAAAATTTAGACTCTAGGCAATGGTAAGTTAAACTTTCTAATTACTTAGAATTCATGAATATACTTAAATTATCAGCTGCAACATTTTTTAATGTTTTCTAAAAATACATATCTTACTCTTTCTTTATAATTACAAAATATAAATCTGTCAATATGAACAAATTCCATACAAAAACCAACATGGTTTTGAACATACATAAATAATATTTACTTATCCACACAATTTTTGATCCTTGGACAGTTTTGGATTTGTTTTGCCTACAACTAGTCCTTCACTTATGACTGTAATTGAGCCTGGAATTGTGGCCATAAGTCATGCCAATCGTTATGCAAATGAGCATGTGGCCGTGCCTGATTTTATGACCTTTTTTGCAGTGGTCATTAAGGGAATGCCTTTACTTAATGGCATTCTTTGCAGCGGTCATTAAACAAACATCACAAACCCATTGTCTGCAACCCAATGCAAAAAACCTGCATTGTCTAGGGTGGTTGTTGTTTTTGCTGTAAACTGGAAGTAAATTGCAGTTTTCAGCAAAAAATATTGTAAATTGTGGTCATAAAATAAAAAGGTCATAATTGATGTGGTTATAAATTGAGTTTGTATAATCAGTACTCAGTAGACATATTTGAATCATTATAATGCTTTATTTCAGAATGTTGGGAAACAAATTTGCAATTTTTAAATAGATTGTTTGCAATGATCTTTGGTTGACATACTTAGCCAAGATTAAAGTAGAATTCAGTAGAATAGAATAGAATAGAATAGAATAGAATAGAATAGAATAGAATAGAATAGAATA